TTTTTAATAGAAAACTGTCATCTGAAGGCACTTTTGTATACGAAAACTGTCTTTAGAAGACACTTCTATACGAAAACCGTCTTACAAGATACTTATCTATCAGCAAACTGTCTCCTTTTCTAATAGCAAACAGTCTTTAGAAGACACTTTTCTATACGAAAACTGTCTTTAAAAGACACTTATCTAACAGCAAACTGCCTTCTGAAGACACTTTTCTATCAGCAAACTGTCTCCTAAAGACACTTTTATATCAGCAAACTGTCTTCTGAAGACACTTTTCGGAAACACTTTTCTATCAGCAAACTGTCTCCTAAAAACGCTTTTCTATCACCAAACTGTCTTTTAAGACACTTTTCTAATAGCAAACAGTCTTTAGAAGACACTTTTCCATACGAAAACTGTCTTTAGAAGATACTTTTCTATACGAAAATCATCTTACAAGATAATAATCTATCAGCAAACTGTCTCCTAAAGACACTTTTCTATCAGCAAACTGTTTTCTGAAGGCGTTTTTCTATCAGCAAACTTCATTCTAAGGATACTTTTCTATCTGCAAACTGTCTTCTGAAGGTACTTTTCCCTTAACAAACTATCTTTTGAAGACTCTTTTCTATTATCAAACTGTGTTCTAAAGACACTTTTCTATCAGCAAACTGTCTTCTGAAGACACTTTTCTAACAGCAAACTGTCTTCTGAAGATACTTTTCTATCTGCAAACTGTGTTCTAAAGACACTTTTCTATCAGCAAACAGTCTTCTGAAGATAATTTTCTATCAGAAAAATATCTTTTGATGACACTTTTCTATCAACAAACTGTCTTCTAAATAACTATCTTCTGATGACACTTTTCTATCAGCAAACTGTCTTCTGAAGATACTTTTCTATTAGAAAAATATCTTTTGATGACACTTTTCTATCAACAAACTGTCTTCTAAATAACTATCTTCTGATGACACTTTTCTATCAGCAAACTGTGTCCTAAAGTCACTTTTTTATTAGCAAACTGTCTTCTAAAGACACTTTTCTATCAGCAAACTGTCTTTATAACACACTTTTCTATACGAAAACTTTCTTTAGAAGATACCAGACTTTCTACAACAAATTCCCTACTTAAATCATCAAAACTATTTAAATATTATTACACAAATTCCTCACCTCATTATCTATCAATAAATACACATTTATCCATTGTTGCGGAACTAAATAAATTTCCATTTAAATCTCTATAATTAGCATTAGCTTGTAAATTATATATATTATGATAGATTGATGAGATTACCTAAAATATTTATAATTATAAATGACCATACAAACAGAAAAATAAACCTACATAAATAACTAAATCAATTACATTATAACACAGGCTATTATTCCAAAGTGATTGAATATATTTCAATTATATCGCGTGTTTTCAATAAAAGTTATTATAACAATAATATTATTATAAATGAGATCTTTATTATAATTAGACAATTTATCATGTGTAAAAAATATGTTAGTGGCACAGAATAGAAACAAAAACCCAAATAATAAACAATATTGTTATTTAAAAAAATATAATTGAAAATCAAATTTGAAATAATTTAAAATCATTTAAATTATAACTAAATTTAGTAATCAAACATTTAACAATAAATTATTTATAAACAACTTATCAATTTAATAGAAATTTATAACAAATTGTCATGATTTTTGTTAAATTAGAAATTATAATAGTAAATTTTTGTTTAACAATAAAGATGTGTTTGTTTACTTTACATTCATACTTTTAATAGCAACCCTACTACGTCAAGTTGTCTATCACTTTTAATACCTTTTTAAAATGAACCCCCCATTGAGGATTTTTTGTTGTCATTCATCATTTTCTTATTAAAAGGGTTTAATTTACAGCGCATTTATTTTAAAAATAACTTATTGATTAATTTTGTTATTATATTTTAGATTTTAGTTGTTTATTTTTTAAAATAGTTGTTTTCTCTAAAATATTTTCTATTTTCAATATTTTATTATGACGTTAAAACTGCTAATTGTTTATTTTATTAGTGTTATTATCTGTAATAAATGTATTAAACAAATGTTTAATATGTACAGGGTCCAATATTTTATTTGTATTATTTAAAACAAAGTCCAATTTAAGTTAATGAACTTGATATCAGTTTTCATAATCGCTTAAAGCTAAACGTTACTGAATTTAGGTCAAAATGGAAGCAAAAGAATAATAATAATAAAATTTTTTACACAAAATTTTTTTCTTTGGACAATCTTCTAATGGAAACAGTTCTCTAAAAACACTGTTCTTAAAGAAAACTATATTCAAGAATCATTTTTATACGAAAACTGTCTTTAGAAGACAATTTTTTATACAAAAACTGTCTTTAGAAGACACTTTCTATACGAAATCTGTCTTTGGAAGACACTTCTATACGAAAACTGTCTTTAGAAGACACTTTTCTATACGAAAACTGTCTTAACAAGACACTTTTCTAAACGAAAACTGTTTCTATAAGACACTTTTCTATAAGAAAACAGTTTACAAGACACTTTTCTATACGAAAACTGTCTTTAGAAGATACTTTTCTATACGAAAACTGTCTTTAGAAGACACTTTTCTATACGAAAACTGTCTTTAGAAGATACTTTTCTATACGAAAACTGTCTTAACAAGACACTTTTCTATACGAAAACAGTCTTTACAAGACACTTTTCTATACGAAAACAGTCTTTACAAGACACTTTTCTATACGAAAACTGTCTTTACAAGACACTTTTCTATACGAAAACTGTCTTTACAAGACACTTTTCTATACGAAAACTGTCTTTACAAGACACTTTTCTATACGAAAACTGTCTTTACAAGACACTTTTCTATACGAAAACTGTCTTTAGAAGACACTTTTCTATACGAAAACTGTCTTTAGAAGATACTTTTCTATACGAAAACTGTCTTAACAAGACACTTTTCTATACGAAAACAGTCTTTACAAGACACTTTTCTATACGAAAACAGTCTTTACAAGACACTTTTCTATACGAAAACTGTCTTTACAAGACACTTTTCTATACGAAAACTGTCTTTAGAAGACCCTTTTCTATACGAAAACTGTCTTTAGAAGATACTTTTCTATACGAAAACTGTCTTAACAAGACACTTTTCTATACGAAAACTGTTTTTACAAGACACTTTTCTATACGAAAACTGCCTTTAGAAGACACTTTTCTATACGAAAACTGTATTTAGAAGACACTTTTCTATACGAAAACTGTCTTTAGAAGACACTTTTCTATACGAAAACTGTCTTTAGAAGACACTTTTCTATACGAAAACTGTCTTTAGAAGACATTTTTTAAACGAAAACTGTCTTTAGAAGACATTTTTCTATACGAAAACTGTCTTTAGAAGACACTTTTCTATACGAAAATTGTCTTTAGAAGACACTTTTCTATACGAAAGCTGTCTTTAGAGAACACTTTTCTATACGAAAACTTTCTTTAGAGGACACTTTTTTATACGAAAACTGTCTTTAGAAGACACTATTCTATATGAAAACTGTCTTTAGAAGACACTTATACGACACTGTACGAAAACTGTCTTTAGAAGACACTTTTCTATACGAGTACTGCTTAGAAGACACTTTTCTGTACGAGTACTGCTTAGAAGACACTTTTCTATACGAAAACTGTCTTTAAAAGACATTTTTCTATAAGAAAACTGTCTTTAAAAGACATTTTTTCTATACGAAAACTGTTTGGAAACTCTTCGAAAAAGTTTTCGTATAGAAAAATGTATTTACAAGACATTTTTCTATCAGAAAACTCCTTCAGAAGACTCTTTTCTGTTAGAAAATTATGTTTATGAGACACTTTTCTATTAGAAAACTGATTTTAGAAGCCAGTTTTCTATTAGAAAACTGTCTTTAAATGACACTTTGGACGTCCTTTTTACTTAAGTATTTTGCATCATTTATTTACTACAAAAAATTAAAAATAAATAGTTTATTATTAAATTTCAATAACAAATTAATAAACAAAATAAAAAACAAGACTTTTTTAAAAAAAAAGTAACAATTTTCTCAGTTGACAGTTGGTGACCAAATAAGACAAACAGATGCTTAAAAAAAATTCAATAAAAATCAATTAAAAAAAGTTTATTTTTCTGTAGTTATGACATTTTACACATAACAAAACAATAAACAAGTTATTTTAAATCAATTTCTTGAAATATTTTTATAAAAAAAAAAAAAACAAACAATTAAAGTAAAATAACTCGTGGCAAAAGATTTTTAATTGACAGAAAAAGGGGGTCAATACTTTGTTATTGTGTTTGACGTAGTACAAACAGAAAACAAATACTCGTGACACTTAAATCAGACTCAGAGTTTAGTAGTGTAAAGTATTTGACACACAAAAATATTAAGTACGAATAGTAAGAGTGATAGATAGACAAAGGGGGAAGAGGAGGGGGGGGCTATGCTAAATATTTATGTTTATTTACATTTGCACTTAGTACAAGTACTTGGAAACCCGTTTGTTTGTTTGTTTGTTGTTTTTTTATGTGACACTTACTAATGTTTCATTTTAGCGATTTTTTTGTGGGGGGAAGGTTTTAGCTTAATAACACTTATTATGTATAAATATTTTTGTTTAAAAGTCGTGTCAGATACTTTATATAGTTATTTAAGTGTTGTTATTGTTGTTGTTTAAAAAACAATAAATCAAGTTCAATGTTAAACACAGTTTTCCTATAATTCAATGCGTTTTTAATTACTTTATTTCATTTCTGATAACTAAAATTTATGAAATAATAAATTTGCAAAATTGAAAAATGAGTTTTAAACTCATGTTTAATAATTTTATGTATTTTAAGTAAAATTTTAACAAGGTCAAAGTTTAAAACATTTTAATAAAATTTTATAATAACAAAATCACATTTTGTTATTTTTATTAATATTACTTAAGTTGTTCAAAACTTTTTACTAATTTTTGTAATTTTCCTTTTCTTATCTTTTTAGTTAACTACAAATTTAGTTCAAAATGGAGATGTAAGTTTTATTTATTCAAATTTCTGTAAAAAAAAGTTTAAATTATTAATAAATGTTTCTTTTTTTTCAATTTAACAGTGAGGCGGGTGAGAGAGCCCCATTATCGGGGTGCAGTAAAGTAACCACATTTATTGCCAACCACTGGAAAGGTTTAGTCGTATTTCTAGTGCCTCTATTATGTTTACCTGTGATGTTAATGAATAATACTCCTGTAAGTAGAAAAAATGTATTAAATTATCTTCTAAAGAATATTTTCTTATAGAAAAAATAATGTTTTTTTCTAATAGAAAATTTAATTCAGAAGACAGTTTGTTTTATAGAAAGACCGTTTCAGTTCAGTTCTAATTCAGTTCTAGTTCAGTTCTAGTTCAGGTCTAGTTCAGTTCTAGTTCAGTTCTATAGTAGTTCAGTTCTAGTTCAGTTCTAGTTCAGTTCTAATTCAGTTCTAGTTCAGTTCTAGTTCAGTTCTAGTTCAGTTCTAGTCCTAGTTCAGTTCTAGTTCAGTTCTAGTTCAGTTCTAGTTCAGTTCTAGTTCAGTTCTAGTTCAGTTCTAGTTCAGTTCTAGTCCTAGTTCAGTTCTAGTTCAGTTCTAGTTCAGTTCTAGTTCAGTTCTAGTTCTAGTTCAGTTCTAGTTCAGTTCTAGTTCAGTTCTAGTTCAGTTCTAGTTCAGTTCTAGTTCTGTTCTAGTTCAGTTCTAGTTCAGTTCTAGTTCAGTTATAGTTCAGTTCTAGTTCAGTTCTAGTTCAGTTCTAGTTCAGTTCGAGTTCAGTTCGAGTTCAGTTCTAGTTCAGTTCTAGTTCAGTTCTAGTTCAGTTCTAGTTCAGTTCTAGTTCAGTTCTAGTTCAGTTCTAGTTCAGTTCTAGTTCAGTTCTAATTCAGTTCTAGTTCAGTTCTACTTCAGTTCTAGTTCAGTTCTGTTCTAGTTTAGTTCTAGTTTAGTTCTGGTTCAGTTCGAGTTCAGTTCTAGTTTAGTTCTAGTTTAGTTCTAGTTCAGTTCTAGTTCAGTTGTAGTTCAGTTCTAGTTCAGTTCTAGTACAGTTCTAGTTCAGTTCTAGTTCAGTTCTAGTTAAGTTCTAGTTCAGTTTTAGTTCAGTTCTAGTTCAGTTCTAGTTCTGTTCTAGTTCAGTTCTAGTTCAGTTCTAGTTCAGTTCTAGTTCAGTTCTAGTTCAGTTCTAGTTTAGTTCTAGTTCAGTTCTAGTTCAGTTCTAATTCAGTTCTAGTTCAGTTCTACTTCAGTTCTAGTTCAGTTCTGTTCTAGTTCAGTTCTAGTTCAGTTCTAGTTCAGTTCTAGTTCAGTTCTAGTTCAGTTCTAGTTCAGTTCTAGTTCAGTTCTAATTCAGTTCTAGTTCAGTTCTAGTTCAGTTCTAGTTCTGTTCTAGTTCAGTTCTAGTTCTGTTTTAGTTCTGCTCTAGTTCTGTTCTAGTTCGGCTTTAGTTATGTTCTAGTTCTGCTCTAGTTCTGTTCTAGTTCAGTTCTAGTTCAGAAAAATTTCTTCTTAGGTTTCTACTAAAGACAGTTTTCTAATAGAAAAATGTCTTCTAAAGACAGTTTTCTAATAGAAAAATGTCTTCTAAAGACAGTGTTTTATTGAAATGAATACAATTTCTTATTATTTCTCATTCTTTTTAGGAATATCGTTGTATGTACCTGCTTATTGTTATGGCTATATTTTGGGTAACTGAAGCCTTGCCCCTCTATGTCACCTCAATGATTCCAATTGTAGCGTTTCCTGTAATGGGTATAATGGTATGTTTTCTATTACTATTTAGCATTTTATCACACTTATTTGTCAAAATATCTTAATTGTTGTTAATTGATTTATATGCATGTTGTTTTGTTACAGAGTTCCGATCAAACGTGTAGATTATATTTCAAAGATACACTTGTAATGTTTATGGGTGGCATTATGGTCGCCTTAGCTATTGAATATTGTAATTTACATAAACGTTTAGCTTTGCGCGTTATACAAATTGTTGGCTGCAGTCCTAGAAGGTATGTACACGAGAGTCATATTACAAAAAAAAAAATAAATTTTTACTTGTAATAAGTTTTTACATCTGCTGATATTAATTACCTTTTATAAAGTAAATATTTCAACTTGTAATCATTTGTTTACATTACACGAGCTGTAATATTTTCATTATTATTATAATTTTCTTGTTATTCTAGTATTTTTTTAAGCAAAATTATCAGCAATTGCTTATAAATTATTTAAGTTCTCGTTTAATTTAATCAATGAAATGTATATGGGTTAGACGTGAAGAATGTAAAAAAATGTGAACATTATTTGTTTGTCCAGCTATTCCAGTCTGTTTTGTGTCAAAACCTTTAGGTTTAATTTTTAATTAATGTATTTTAAATTAATCATTTCAATGGAAATGTTTTCATTTGAAACATAATTTAGACTTCACAATTAGTAATGTTCATGAGGAAATTTTAAAATTAATTATATACCTTTCGTATAGCAAATGTCTTCAGAAGATAGAAAAATATCAAAGGGTCTTCTAAATACAATTTTCTATTAGAAAGTAGTCTTCTGAACACACTTTTCTAATAGTTCTCATAGAAAAGAGTCTTCTAAAGTAAGTTTTCTAATATAAAAGTGTCTTCTAAAGACAGTTTTTTAATATGAAAATTTATTCTTAAGATAGTTTTCAGAATACAGTTTTATAATAGAGAAGCGTTTTGAAAGTGTCTTCCTAAGATAGATAAATAGATAGATAGATAGATAGATAGATAGATAGATAGATAGATAGATAGATAGATAGATAGATAGATAGATAGATAGATAGATAGATAGATAGATAGATAGATAGATAGATAGATAGGTAGATAGATAGATAGATAGATAGATAGATAGATAGATAGATAGATAGATAGATAGATAGATAGATAGATAGATAGATAGATAGATAGATAGATAGATAGATAGATAGATAGATAGATAGATAGATAGATAGATAGATAGATAGATAGATAGATAGATAGATAGATAGATAGATAGATAGATAGATAGATAGATAGATAGATAGATAGATAGATAAATAGATAGATAGATGGATACATAGATAGATATATAGATAGATAGATAGATAGATAGATAGATAGATAGATAGATAGATAGATAGATAGATAGATAGATAGATAGATAGATAGATAGATAGATAGATAGATAGATAGATAGATAGATAGATAGATAGATAGATAGATAGATAGATAGATAGATAGATAGATAGATAGATAGATAGATAGATAGATAGATAGATAGATAGATAGATAGATAGATAGATAGGTAGATAGATAGATAGATAGATAGATAGATAGATAGATAGATAGATAGATAGATAGATAGATAGATAGATAGATAGATAGATAGATAGATAGATAGATAGATAGATAGGTAGATAGATAGGTAGGGTAGGTAGGTAGGAAGGTAGATAGATAGATAGATAGATAGATAGATAGATAGATAGATAGATAGATAGATAGATAGATAGATAGATAGATAGATAGATAGATAGATAGATAGATAGATAGATAGATAGATAGATAGATAGATAGATAGATAGATAGATAGATAGATAGATAGATAGATAGATAGATACATAGATAGATAGATAGATAGATAGATAGATAGATAGATAGATAGATAGATAGATAGATAGATAGATAGATAGATAGATAGATAGATAGATAGATAGATAGATAGATAGATAGATAGATAGATAGATAGATAGATAGATAGATAGATAGATAGATGAATGTTTGCTTATTTAGCTAGAAACATATTGATCTATTTTCATCTGTTGCCATCTGTAAAGTAAGTGTATTACATCACAAATATGCCTCTTCACATACAACCGCAGTGAATTTTTAAAACTTTGCACCATTGGCACACAATTTGGAATAACCTTATCAATAATAAAACCACAATGAATGAAGATTAATAAAACAAAAATAAAGCAAATGACCTACTGAAGGAAAAGAAATTAAAAATAAATTTTGAGACTAATTTCAACAATCTCAATCAAAAACACATAAAAAGTATTTACGCTCTTGTGATAACAGAGAGGCAGATGTAAATAAAACCTAGTTTAACTAAAACTTACTTTAGGATAACCCTGTATTAAGCAGCCTTATTTAATACAACTTTTTTCAGATTACACTTTGGTTTAATTTTCGTTACCATGTTCTTGTCCATGTGGATTTCGAATGCTGCCTGTACCGCTATGATGTGTCCCATTATTCAGGCCGTTTTGGAGGAATTACAACAGCAAGGTCTTTGCAAAATGAATCGTGAACCACAATATCAAATTGTGGGCAACAATAAGAAGAATGGTGAAGAAGAGTAAGTTGTGTAGGATGTAGTAAAAAGAAATATTATTAATTTTCCTTATTTTTCTTTGACACAGACCACCATATCCTTCCAAAGTTACCTTATGCTATTTCTTGGGTGTTGCCTATGCCTCCTCCATGGGTGGTTGCGGTACTGTTATTGGCACTGCCACCAACTTAACCTTCAAGGGTATCTATGAAAGTCGTTTCCCCACCTCTACCGAAACTTTGGATTTCCCCACTTTTATGTTCTATTCCGTGCCCTCTATGTTGATTTATACTGGTTTAATGTTCTTGTGGCTGCAGTACCACTATATGGGCTTATTCCGTCCCAAGAGCAAAGAAGCTGAGGAGGTTAAATTGGGTAATCAGGGAGCCGATGTTGCCCGTAAGGTTATCGATCAACGTTATAAGGAATTGGGTCCTATGAGTGCTCATGAAATTCAAGTTATGATTTTGTTTATCATCATGGTTATTATGTATTTCACCCGTAAACCAGGCATTTTCCCCGGTTGGGCTGATTGGTTGGATGCCAAAGATATTCGTAACTCTATGCCCACCATTTTTGTGGTCATTATGTGTTTCATGTTGCCCGCCAATTATGCTTTTATGCGTTATTGCTGCAATCGTCGTAACTTGGAATTGCCCACTGCCCCAACTCCTTCTTTGATTACGTGGAAATTTATTCAATCTAAAGTACCATGGGGTTTGGTATTCTTGTTGGGCGGTGGTTTTGCTTTGGCTGAGGGCAGTAAAGTCAGTGGTATGGCTACTTTGATTGGTAATGCCTTGATTGGTTTGAAGGCTTTGCCTCATGCTGTTCTATTGTTTGTCATCATTATTGTGGCTGTTGTTTTAACGGCGTTCAGTTCGAATGTTGCTATTGCTAATATTATGGTTCCTGTTTTGGCTGAAATGGTAAGGAAGAGGAATTTGAATTTAGTTTCATTATGATTATTTAATAATTTGTTTATTTTTACTTTTAGTCAATTGCCATTGAAATTCATCCTTTGTACTTAATCTTGCCTGCCGGTTTGGCTTGCAGTATGGCCTTCCATTTGCCAGTCAGTACACCACCCAATGCTTTAGTAGCTGGTTATGCTAATATTCGTACAAAGGATATGGTAAGTTTTAAAACACTGAATATTGTTTTAAAAGGACTATTAAAGGGACTATTAATGGAGCAATGAGTGTTTTCAAAGAAGGACTACTAAAAGGTCTTTGAATAGAGCCACGATTGCTTTAAAAGAAAGACTACTCCAAGGTCTCTGAATAGAGCCACTATTGCTTTAAAAGAAGGACTGCTAAAAGGATTATAAATAGAGTCATGGGTGCTTTAGAAGTACTATTAAAAAGTCTTTGAATAGAGCCAAAAATGTTTTACAAGTAGGACAACTAAAAGGACTATTAATAGAGCCACGTTTGCTTTAAAAGTAGGACTACTGAAAGGACTCTTAATAGAGCCACAAGTGCTTTAAAAGTAGGAGTAATAAAAGGACTATTAAGAGAGCCATGAATACTTTAAAGGAAGGGCTTATTAATAGAGCCACGAATGCTTTACAAGTTGGACTATTAAAAGTACTACTAATAGAGCTACGATTGCTTTAAAAGTAGGACTACTAATAGGTCTTCGAATATAGATATAAATGCTTTAAAAGTTGGACTACTGAAAGGACTATTAATAGAGCTACAAATGCTTTACAAGTTGGACTACTAAAAGGACTATTAATAGAGCTTCCAAAGAAAGACTACTAAAAGCACTAATAATAGAGCCATGATTGCTTTAAAAGAAGGACTACTAAAAGACCTTTGAATAGTACCATGATTGCTTCAAAAGAAAGCCTACTAAAAGGACTTTTAAAGGAGCAATGGTTGCTTTAAAAGTAGGACTACTAAAAGGACTATTAATAGAGCCACGATTGCTTTCAAAGAAATACTACTAAAAGGACCATTAACATTCTAAAAGGACTATTAATAGAGCCACGTTTGCTTTAAAAGTAGGACTACTGAAAGGACTCTTAATAGAGCCACAAGTGCTTTAAAAGTAGGAGTAATAAAAGGACTATTAAGAGAGCCATGAATACTTCAAAGGAAGGGCCACGATTGCTTTAAGAGAAGGGCTTATTAATAGAGCCACGAATGCTTTACAAGTTGGACTACTAATAGAGCCACGATTGCTTTAAAAGTAGGACTAGTAATAGGTCTTTGAATATAGCTATAAATGCTTTAAAAGTTGGACTACTAAAAGCACTATTAATAGAGCCACAAATGCTTTACAAGTTGGACTACTAAAAGGACTATTAATAGAGGAACGATAGCTTCCAAAGGAAGACTACTAAAAGCACTATTAATAGAGCAATAATTGCTTTAAAAGAAGGACTACTAAAAGGCCTTTGAATAGAGCCATGATTGCGTCAAAAGAAAGCCTACTAAAAGGACTTTTAATGGAGCAATGATTGCTATTAATAGAGCCATGATTGCTTTAAAAGAAGGACTACTAAAAGGCCTTTGAATAGAGCCATGATTGCTTCAAAAGAAAGCCTACTAAAAGGACTTTTAATGAAGCAATGATTGCTTTAAAAGTAGGACTACTAAAAGGACTATTAATAGAGCCACAATTGCTTTCAAAGAAATACTACTAAAAGGACCATTAACAGACCTATTAGTGCCTTATTGACCAAAATTTCTAAATACCCAGAACTCAACTAATTCCTTCCCTAATTCTGTCTTTTATTTTCAGGCCATCGCTGGTATTGGTCCCACCGTTATCAGTATCATTGTCTTGTTTGTATTCTGTCAAACATGGGGTTTGGTAGTGTATCCCAATCTTACCACATTCCCCGATTGGGCACGTACCATAGCACTAAATGCTACGCATTAAATGTTGCATCCACAACAACAACAACAACCACATCCCTCTAAACATCAACCAACACACCAACCACTACATCCTAAATTAGTTTTTAAGTTTTTTAAAACGATTTTTTTTTTTTAATTTCTAACATTCATACTAGAGTGCTTGTTCTAGCATAAAGGGGCGTAAACATGCCCCCCTAAGGCAATGTTCTTTTTAAACAACAACTTAAGCTCTAACCACTTATAAACATAAAAAGTGGTTTCATCTTTTTGTAGGCAATTTTGTTTTGTTTTTTATTTTTAAAACTAAAACACATTTTTAATTTAGAAAAATTAAAATTTTTTTTAAACAAAATTTCATTTTTTTCAAAGAAAACTTTATTTAAGTTAAAAAAGCCAATTTAAAAAAAAATTTAAATGTTTGTTAACTGTATGTGTAGTTTTTAAGTAAAAGAAAAACTTAATATTTTTTTTTTTTTAATATTTAAGTATAATAAAATTAAATTTAAAATATATGTTTAACATATCTTTTTATTAGCAAAAAAACATATATTGTTATAGTTTTATATACTCTAGTTGACAAAAAAGTACCGTATTTAAAGAAAACTATATAATCATGATACCGTTTATAGTACTTTGTACTTTTTTTTTTAAATAACTATAAATATTAATTAATGAATATTTATAACTTGATGCATTTCTGTTCTAATAGTTTCATTTTATTTTGATACAATTATATATATACAAAGACACACACACACACACTTACGCAAACAGCTAAACAAACTAAAATTTTCTTAATAAATAGCAAATGTTATATGAATCCATAAAAAATAACTCAGAAAAGAATATGTAATTTTAAAATTATACCTACAAATACAAAATAATAGAAGAAAAAACTATATATTTTTACAAAAAAAAACATTTATGTACTTTAATATGTAAAAATACAAATTTTAAAAAAATTTTAAAAAATAATAAAAAATTAAAAAAAAAAAAAAATTAAGAGGTTTTTAAATTTGAAACTACTAAAACAGGACTATTAATAAAGGCAGGATTACTTTAAAAGCAGGACTAATAAAATGAATATGAATAGAAACCACTTTGCTTTAAAAGTAAGACTGCTAAAAAGAGTATTAATAGAGCTAAGATAGCTTTAAAAGAAGAACCTCTAAAAGGACAACTAATAGAGCAACACTTGCTTTTAAAGAAGGACTACCTAAAGGACTATTAATAGAACCACGAATACTTTAAAGGAAGGACTACTAATAGAGTTACGATTCCTATTAATAAAGCCACGAATGCTTTAAAGAAAAAACTACTAAAAGTACTAATAATAGAGCCACGGTTGCTTTAAAAGAAGGACTATTAATAGGTTTTATATAGAGACACGATTGCTTTATAAGAAGAATCACTAAAAGGACTGTTAATAGAGCTTTGATTGCCTAAATAGAAGGACTATTGAAAGGATGATTAATACATCTACGATAGCTTTAATAGAAGGACTACTAAAAGGACTATTAATAGAGCCACGATTGCTTTACAGAAGAACTTCTAAAAGGACAATTAATAGAGCAACAGTTGCTTTAAAAGAAAGACTACTTAAAGGACTATTAATAGAGCCACGAATGCTTTTAAGGAAGGACTACTAATAGAGTTACGATTGCTATTAATAGAACTACGAATGCTTTAAAGGAAAGACTATTAAAAGGACTATTAATAGAGCCGCGGTTGCTTTAAAAGAAGGACTACTAATAGGTTTTTATATAGAGTCCCTATTGCTTTATAAGAAGAATCACTAAAAGGACTATTAATAGAGCCACGATTGCTTTAAAAAAGAACTTCTAAAAGGACAATTAATAGAGCAACACTTGCTTTAAAAGAAGGACTACTTAAAGGACTATTAATAGAGCCACGAATGCTTTTAAGGAAG